CAGGGAACACTGCTGGCTCATGGTTAACCTGTCGTCCACCAGGACACCCAGGTCCCTCTCCACAGAGCTGCTCTCCAGCAGGTCCGCCCCAAACCTGTACTGATGCATGGGGTTGTTCCTCCCCAGGTGCAGGACCCTGCATTTGCCTTTGTGGAACCTCATCAGGTTCCTCTCTGCCCAACCAGCCTCTCATTAGTTTTACTCCATTCTGTTTAGCAGAATTGGAACTTAATGGTCACTGCATGCAAGAAGTATTGGAAAAAAAAATATGCTGTTACCTTCTCAGCAATTTATTTGATCTCTACTTTGAGAAAAACAACACATTAGACTTCATCAGCCAGTTGTTGACCAGAACAGAGCTTTGCCACGATCTCACAGGCTTCAGATCTTGCTGTTAGTGAGGCATGAACAAAAATAAATCAATTATTCTGCAAAAATATCATCATGAAGGAAAAAAACGCTTGATTGCTCAAGCCTTCTTTTTTAAATACAGGCAAAAAATGCCATTAACACAGAATGATGGAACCTCAATAGGAGGGCACTCAACAAACAAGCAACCATTCAACGGCACATTAACCATGGGTGGAATAAGTTTTGCTTGTGTCAAGGTGATTGCAGATTTAAGTGACACAAACTAGTGTGGATCCACAGTAGAAAAGACCAGTTTTGCAAAAAAAAAAGATAATACATCACCTTATCATTAGAAAAAGAAGAGAGCTGCCACTGTATAGTGTGGCATCACATTACTGAGCACCCAGATACCCAATGGCGAGCACCAGGGACCACGCCTGGGAACAAGGCAGCCTCTGCCCACCTCCCCATGGAACAGCCAACCCTGTTTTGCAGTGGATAACAATAATCAATACACATGTTTTAGTCAGATACTTACCAAGCATTACACTGGGGTGACAACCAGATTGTATTACTGCAACCTGGGTTTTGGGACTGGCAGAACCAGACAAGATGGTACTTACACAGATATTTTAATTCTTCGAGAAGTGGGTTTTTCATTTATTTTTAAATTTGTACATGAAGATGTTTAGTCTTTAAATTTACAGTTGCTGTTTCAGTTACAGGAATATTTAGCACAAGCCCTGCAAAGCAGCCATATACCAAACCAGGTGTATTATTTATTGTAAACAAGCACACATGATATACACAAACATATGAAAACAAGTGAACAGAAAGCTTCCAGCCACCTGCACTTCCGATTGCCAGGTGCCGAAGAAGAGGAGCAGAAGGGCCACCTCCTCCTCCTGCCACTTGTCTGGGCCACCCCCAGCGCTCACCTTGGAAGACAGCAGCGTTCTGGATGACGAGGAACTTCAGCTCCATGCTGGCAGACTGCAGGAGCTGCTCCATGTTCAGGCGGGCTGTTGCCTGGTACTTCTCCTCCATCTTTCTCGAGCAGCATGTGGAGCCCTTCGGGATACATACTTGCAGGTCAGACCCTGGAGAGAGGCATGAGAAGGGCAAAATATTTGCATTAGGAGATGAAATGGCTGGGAGTGGAGAGGAAACCCAACTCCATGCGTTAGTATTGCTGCAATTACTGTTAGGGCAAACTGATGACATCTCTGGAGTTTGTCCTGAGCAAGCAGCTCAGGAAGAAGGCCGATAAGGCAGAGCCAGGACTGCCGAGCAACAGCCCCCGAGAGCTTGCTGTGCACGCCTGCCAGCACGCTGCTTGCTTCAGCTCCCACGCTCTCCATCCACGGATGGGCTGGAGCAGAGCAGTACAGAGCATCGCCCTGCGGTCTCCTGCACGCCCACCAGCACATCGACAAGGAGCTGCACACAGCCAGAAGAGATGGAGCAGGAGATGGAGAAAGGAGCTAGGATTTGAAGCTGTGGATTTATGATGAACAGAGCAATGTACATAGTTCAGCACACTGGGTATGCTCTTCATTTACGTAAAGACTTAAAATAATTAACAACTGTGTTATTTGCCTGTGATCTCCATCCTTTTGCATCCACAGCAACAACAGAAGGGCAGAATAATGACTGTTTTTTCTAGTGCAGACTTCGAAATTGTACATATCTCCTGAGTTCTCCCACCAATTTCACCACCCCATGCTTCCTCCATTGCAACCGGCAAAGCCCATTGCTTCACCTGTGAAAGTCCCACCACAGAGAGACAGGTCCCAAGCCATTTGCTGAGCATGGCAAAAGGCAAGTGCCTTTCCAGCAGCACATGGGCCACATGCACTAGAATGGTACCAGAATGGTACAACAGCAAGAGGAACATCACTTGCTCTGGCATCTCAAGCTGTAACTCAAAGCACTGGTCAGTGATGCTAAATTTTGGTTTTTGACATTCCCCAAGCGTTCCCAAAGCTCTTACTCCTGGATGTAGTAGGCAATTTTTGGAAAAGCGTTGTTAGCTAAAACGTGATCAATAAAACCTAGGGGGGGGAAAAAGTATTCATCTTTTGGGTTCAGACAACAGGAGAAGATAGAACAGAAGAGCTGGAAGTGGCAGCAATAAAAAGTCTCATTCTCAACCAACTTTCAGTAGTGTTGTCCCAAAAGTGGGATCGTTTACCCGGTGTGCAGTACACGTAAACGATCCCACTTTTGGGACAACAGTAGCAAACTGTGGCCCTGCAAACACTAGCAGAGAAACAAGCTCATACCAAAGCAAATAGCCCTCATCATGCAAAACACATCCAATCTGATGCTGCTGTTAGACACTCAAACAGTAAGCAACAACTCCATTAAAAACAGCTACCCAGGGCCAGACAGCAGCGAGAACCTTCCATTTTGGTGTCTACCAGCCAAACTGCAGCGTGCCTGGAGCAGGAGCAGCTCCCCATTGGGCTCAGCGCTGCCCAGAACCAGGATTAGGAAGCAGGACCCAAGGCAGTGACCGACCACCCAAACAGAGTGAAGACTCCACACACCCCTCAGCCCTCGCTCAGCCTTCCCGTTTGCTATAGAGGGTTTTTTTTTTCCCTTGATAAAAGCAGCTTTGGCAATTTAGATCTTTGATCTAGAAGGATTATATATCCTTCCAGGTTCCTCTCTCCCCTCCTCCTCACGAGTCTTTTACCACATCCACTCTCTCACTAATTACTAGAAAGTGTCAAAAGTCACTTTTATAAGCATACTCTGGAAGAGCAGGATTAATATTAATGTCAGTTCAATCATGTACCTCCTGCAGAAGAGTCATGCACACCGCCAAGGGAAAAGCAGCTGTCAGGGCTCGGAAGCAGTGACAGCAGAATCCCTCCTCCCTCCAGCCCCATCCCTTCCCCTGGCACAGCCTCGGAACAACAACGTGAAACACTTCATCTGCAACGTGCATTTCACGTGCGGGAAGGAGCTTTAACCAAGGCAAGTCCTGCCGTCACTGCAAAACAACGCATGACAAAGTGGGGCAAAAGACCCAGCCCAAGGCCTGACCCACACCACCATCCCAGCTCCATCTCTGCCTGCTGCCTCCGTCTCCCCTTCTGCAAAGCGGGATGCGCAGCACAAACTCCTTCATCAAGCCCTCCGACAAAGAGCCAGCACCACTGACACCCAACGATCGAGTCTCAGCAGTTCGTGAGCCGACCCACTCGAGGAGCACAGCGACAGGTATTTCACGCATTGAAAAAATAACAGGGACCATAAAACCACATAACAGCAAGACACTGCGTTAATGAGAGAAGTGGTTATATAACCGCAAGTTAGAGGGGTTTTTTTAAGTCAATTTACACCACAAAAAGGCTTAGCGTGGGCCCTTTAACACTACAACACAGCCATAAATTTCCTGTTAATACAAAGTGTATTTCCTCCTACATTTACTATATTATCAGGACACATTTCAAATTAAAAAAAAAAAGCCTTCCACGATTAATGGAAATACCAATATAGAAAATCTGAGAGTTGGCAATTAAGAGATCTGTGCAAGTTAAAGCCAGTGATAGGAAGCAGCAAGGTCATCTACTCACCTCTCATCCTTCTTTTTAGCAGTTAAGCAAATTACTCCCCCTAAATGGATTTTTAGTTTTGTGAAGTAAGTAAAAAGACAGACACATGCTGTAGCAGAGCAATCGCGGAGGAGGAAGAAAAAGCCTGGGAATTAACTCTGACAGCTTAAAACGTTTTACAGAAATAGCCAACTAACACCCATGACCAGAAATGTCATGGTAAATGCAACAGGGCAACATAGGCAGGACAGGCTCTTATCAGCCACCAGGAACAAGGTCCTTCCGGGGGCAGAGCGTTGCTGCAGAGGGCTAGGGAGCGGGGCCTGCCTCCCATCTGCCAGCCATCTCTGTAGATGGCTTTCCCAGACAGCGAGCAGACCCAAGCAGTCCCATCTGTAAGTACCAATGGCAAGGAAAGGAGGTTTTGATGCTCAGGACCCCGGTCCCCCAGGAGCCACTAAGCCACCCCACTGACCCCAGCGGAGATCAATGTAACAGGAACAGCATTTCTTCACCTGCAAGTATGTTTGGGTTTTAATCATGCCGTTGCTTGGAGGACTCTCCTGCACACTCACGCTGCAGCACCACCCAAGAGACCCAGATCCCACACCCCAAGTGCTAGGAGCTCTGCAAACCACGCTTGCTCCAGAAGCATGGTGGATGCAGAGACGCAAACGCCTGGAAACACACCACAAGCCTATGGATCAGATACTAGCGCAAATTAAACTGCCGCACATTTTTGGCTTCATAAATGCAATGGAAAAGGTCCTGTGAGTCATCAAATCCTACCCCCTGCCTCCCAATCCACCCCCTCTAAGCATTTTATCTAACACAAACACCTCCAGTGATAGCTTCCAGTTGCGAGATAGCAAAGCCCATTCCGCTGCTTAATGGCCCTTGCTGTTAAGACTGGTTTTATCTGGTAACATACACACCCCCTCTTTTTTTTTTTTTAAAGTTTCAAGCCATTACATCTCCTAATGCCAGCCTCGGCCCTTGCAAACCACCTCCTCCTTTTGCTATAAATCATTACAAATTCATTTTTGGAAAGAAAGCGTCCCACGAATTACTCCAACAGTTTTATTACATTGTATTTGGATGCTCACATACCCATCTTCGCAAGCTCAGCGAGGCCAACGCGATGCTGAGCACGGGAGCCTGGCCCTCCGACAGCCAAGTCTCACGGGGGAGCAGGAGCTGGACGCGGCCCCTTCCACCGGCGGAGGCCAGGCACCCCCAGAGCGCCGTGCCATTTATGCCATCTTGGGGAACAGCAGTGTAAATGCTCCAGTAATTTCGCATCCACTCCTAGCTGACAGAACTGAGCCCTAAAGCTGCAGTAATTTCAGCAGCACCTTGCCTCTTCCTCCCTCTTCTGACACAAGGAATTTTTACTGAAGGCCAGGTAGCAGTGAATTTAAAGCATTAAATTTGACTTTGATGTACAATTATATCCCACAGATAGGTGGTTAGCACAGCAGAAGTGAAAATAATTTCTGTGGATTAAATGTTCAAAAAAAAACCCTGGAGATCATCCACAGGCAGCTGCAAACTCCTTCATGAGGCTGAAGGACTGTATTTTGATTTTCAGCATCCTAGGACAGCTCCAACCCTGCCATCAGAGGCAGGCACACAAGCCTGCCCACCCAGATCCAACGGCAGCTTAAATCAGATTAACATTCCCCGCAGATTTACATCAGGCGTTGCCAAAATGACAACCTGGCCCAGCTCAATGTTTCGTGACTGCGGCCTCCTCCCCACGACGGCAGGGCTCTGCTACCCCGTGCAGCGGCACCCTTCGCCTTCTGGGGCCTGGAAACGTCAAAGGGCTCCGTCCCACCCTCTCAGCTCGCCGCTTTGTTAACATTACACGCAAGAAAGCTGCTGCTTTGTGTTAATTTTCTTTCTCTAATTGTTTCACAGTCAGCATCATGCTTTAAACAGATAAAAGCAGTGATTCAGCCTTTAAATGTAGTAGATTTTCCCCCAGCTATTTCAACACTACTTTTTTTTTTTATTAAAAGCCTTCTTTTAGATTACGTGACTAGGAGGTTGTGCATCTGTCACTGGCTTTTAATGCTCAGCATTTGGGGGGGAAAAGGAAATGCGACTGCTCAAAACCCAGGTTAAGTGTTGATCTTTTTAAAACCTAATTAAAGAGATATAAATTATAAAGGAACCGCGTTCAATAGGTGATTAAAGTTGGAACAGTGTGGCCACTACATGGGATATTTATTAGTGCTTAATTATCCTTTATTTTCTGTTCCATCCTGTGTCTCACAAGGCTGACTCTGGATTCCTCCCCAAGTCTTGCAATGCTGGCCAGAGGATTGCCAAGCAAATGTAATGCTTGTAACACCGCATCTTTTAAAAGACGACATTACGGAGAAAACGGAGAGGTTTTAGAGAGTAAGCGTTTCCTCCTAACTCATGTACAAATGTATCAACAATACTGTCATCAAAAACATGGAGTTAATTTGTGGGCACCGCTCACCATACAGACTGCTTGTTACAGTCACACGCACATACCCTACAGCCATTCCAAAGACTGGGAAGAACACTGTTCAGGATGTTGTTAAAATAAACCCCTGGGAAAAAAATAAAATTAATGATCTCACTACAAAACCACTGCCTGTGGAGGTTACTAAATTTTAGGGTTCTGCTCCTGCTCTCTTAACTCTATCAAGCAAGCAACTTGCAGGCCTGAAATAATTAAGAACAGAAAACTCAATTATATAGTAAACTAAGATCTTAAACCACCACGCTAAGCTAAACAGAAAGGCTGCATGGAGAGGAGTATCACCAGTCCCACTCAGGAAAATCAGAATAAAAGAGAGAGTACAAAGGGAGCCATCTCACAAGCAGAAGTGCATCGAATCCAGCGGGAAGAGTTGGGATTTTTAGTTTTCAAATTGTATGTTGGCACACACCAGCTGCCAAAAAGAAGAAAAGGAGAGAAGAAAGCTTGACATGCTCAGCCAGCCGGTTGTAAAGCTTTACACCTCAACTCCAAAAGCAAAAGGTTAATCTCCTCTGTTTTCTTAGGGTGAATCCATATTTGCTTCTATCAAAGAGAATGAACAAAAAGCTGGAAACTGCCCTCCGCTGTGGGAGGAGGGAAACAGACCCATCAGCAGATACTTCTGCTGAGAAAAACATTCCTCAGCTTTCATACGGGCCAGGGCAGAGAGGTCCATCCCCTCTCCCCATTTTGGCAATGCAACAACTCGTCCCTTCCCCTCCACCCACACGCACCAGCCCAATTATCCGGAGTGTCACCACAAAGAAACTCAAATGGTAAGGAGGAGAGAAAAACAGACCGGGGAAAAAAATGGAAATTCAAGTTACTGTTTATACATGAGAAATTACGCAGGGAAAAGACAAAAGGAAGGAGAAACCCAAGACAGGCAGTGTAAGAAACAGAGAATTTAGTTATTAATGAATGTGAGCGGCTGAGGAAGTTACCCTAGCACAGAACTGCAGGCTGGCTCACGAGCTGGCATTAAGTCTCGGCTTCAGAAAAGCCTACAAAAAGCACTCTCCCGTCATCCTGCCTTCGCTCCTCTCCAGCACAAGGCCTCTCATCCAGCCCGAGTGGAGCTGTTGGCATGAATTACGTCCTCCCACCCCTCCGAACAGTCAGCCGCAGCTGACGGAAGTTAGGTCATGCTGCTCCCCACCATCGAGCATGCCAAAGCCTGCTCCGGAGCTGCAAAAACCTGGTGCCCAGGCTGCAGGACCAGAGGAGACCAAGTTTCTGCTCGCTAGAATTACTCCCGGAACATTAATACCGCTCATGAAACAGCACGACACTTCCCTCACATCTATCAGAATTGCCTTTTTTTTTTTTTTAATTTAAACTATCAGCCTGGTGTGGCTGGGCTTCTCTATGGGGAGTGCTGTGCCGATGTCCCCCCAGCCCACGCACCACTGATCCAGCAAAACGGAGCCGTGGGACATTTCTCCTGCGTGTGTTGCAACTCGGCAGCGTTTCCTCTACTTATGCCTTCAGCCACAACTGCTCATAATGCAAAATGTGGCTTTCAGAAGTCATTGTTTTCTGTCTGTGTCAACAAAACCCCACATTTTAAATAAGCTGTTTAAACCCTCAGTTTCTCCAGGGTGAAATGATCTATAGGCAAAGGTTCTCAGAACTGATTCCGTGGTGATTTGTGACTGGGAACTCCAAAACTTTTTTTTAATTGACAGATGTATGAAAGGAAGAAAAGCAATAAACAGAAGCCTGGAAAATAGTCATTGCGTGATGTTCTCCTATTACAGAGATTTATGCAGCTGCTACTAGGAGAAGCGAGTGCTCTGAAGTGTAATTACTACACAGAGTCACACAAGATGGGCCAGATCCAAGGTATAAGCAAGCAGTCATTGCTTTAATTATGATCAAGTTTATGTACTTAGGCAAATGTAAAATCCACTTTTGAATTGATACGTGGCATCTTTATCATCATAACAAGCTGGAAGCATTCACTCGGAGCACCAGCCCTGTTACGAGGTATTGATCCAGATACCCACAGGCTCTGCAGCGAGGCAAAGGGCTCCTTCTGCTGAACATCACAGATGCAGCTGGGGCTCCCAGGAGAGCAAGAGCACAGCTGAGCAGCCCCAGTAACCCGAGTCCTGCTGGGAAAGGAAAATGCCCCGGCAAAGGCACCCGCTGCAGTCACAGCCCAGGCCAGGATGGAGGACACCACCAGTTTCTGGGGAAGGACTGACCGCACTGCAGTGTGGAGGCTTCAGCAGAGCCCCCCCACCCACAGCACAGCTTGCAGGGAGGGACCCCTCGGGAGCACCGCGGCTGCCCACCCCTCCATCACCTCCCCCTGCAAAAATCCACTCCAAGAAAGTTACCGAGTGATCAAAGCAAACATTTCGCTGACTTTCACAGAAGCAAGCGAAGACACTTCTTTGATTACAAAGAAACAACAGCATTTGTCATTTTAGTGGCAGTAAGAGCAGCTCTCTGTGCAGCTCTCCGTGCAAACATTTCACCACAAAGTATTTCCAGCACTGCCCCCACACTGACCAGGAGACCGAGGCCCTGTGGGATAGGCAGGGAAGAGGTGCTGCTCCCACAGCTGGTCTGAAGGGAGCGTTAAGAAAGAGAGTCAAAAATTGTATGGGAAGGGGATGCAAGGACACCAAGGGGTAGGGGATGTAGTCTTTCACCAGGACTTGCATCTAAACTCTCCCGATAGATCTCGCGGCTGTTGGTAAGCTGAGGTGTTGCTACAGTCCTACGGACCAAAGGATCTGGGGCTCACACCAGCAGACACAGCCCCTCACAGTCCCAGCCCTCAGCACCCCGCTCTGCCCCTTCCTCTCCCGCGCTGCTGAAGCAGCTCTCGCATCTCTGACCTGTGCGACACCGAATGCAAGAAATATAACACATCGTTATTAAAAGCAGCCACTGCCGGCGATGATCTCACCGCACCTCCCCTGCCTCTCACGTTTGCTTCTTAGCGCTTCCTTCCCACACTTTGATCGGAAGCTTTTTCAGGGCAGGTATTTAACCCAAGGCAGCAGCACCCGAGCTCTCCAGGCAGCTCCCCAAACCCATCCTCTGTGCCCAGACACCCCGAGCGCACAGCCACCCGCCCGCCCGCAGGAGCTGGTGCTCCCCGGGCACCCAACAAGCTGCAAAACAGCCT